CAACGTCGATGGCCGAAAGGTCCTGCGAATTAAGAGCTTGAGGGGGAGAGAGAGTGGGGAGGAGAGAGGGAGACGGAGGGAGGGGAGAGAGGGCAAATGGGGATGCCACTTCAGCAAAGCATGGATCCCATTAACGACACCGTTAAAGCATGTGACGGTGGGACAAGGGACAAAGAAATTTCGAGCGTTATATACAGAACACACACACAAATTTTTCGAAAGGAAAAATATCAATTAAAGGTCATTAGAAAAAAATTTATATCAATCGAATATTATGTATATATTTATTTAAATTTTAATAATAATTTATTTTAAATTAATAATATAGTTCGTTTGAATTTTTTTTCATTCAAATTTTAGTAATAAATAATTCTTAATTGATATAAATTTTTTTAAATGATCTTTCACCATTATATTCCCTTTTTGAAAAACTACCTTTATTTATTTAAAAAAATATATAATTCATGAGGTAAATTTTTTATCAATAAATATTTATTCAAGTTTTAATAATAATTTATTTTAAATTAATAATATAGTTCATTTGAACCTTTTTTCATTCAAATTTTAACAATAAATAATTCTTAATTGATATAAATTTATTTCAATGATCTTTTACCACTATTTTCCCTTTTTGAAAAACTACCTTTATTTATTTAAAAAATATATAATTCATGAGGTAACAATTTTTTTTAGAAAACGTTACCTCATGAATTTTTTAAGAAAAATTAAATATACTAGTGGTTGAGGAATAAGACGCTTCCTCTTGGTTATTCAAAAATAATAACAATTCAAGGGAGAGGAAACACTACTGTTTAGTACCTGTTTTTATAGCATTTCATTAATTCATGAAACTTTATAAAAAAATGATAATAAAATATCTTTGACTTATATAAATAATAATTTAATTTTTTAAAATGTCATAATTTTATTGAAGTTGTTAGGGATTTCTGAGTTAATAAATTTTAAATTAAAAAGACTATTTTACCATTATTGACAAGTTGTCATTTTTTATGCAATCTTATGATTTTTTAAATAAAATTTATTATTCTTTAAACACAAGTTGTGATTAGAACTTATTATTTTGAGAACCTGTTTTTCAATAACAAAAATTACCCCTAACAAATTATAATTTTTTGTTCAACTCTTGTGATTTAAAAAATAAAGATCGGTATGCTTTAAGCAAAAGTTATGATTTGGGTTTATTATTTTGATACACAAATTACAATTGACAAGTTGTTTTTTTTATTTAATTCTTGTGATTCATAAAATAAAAGTTATTATGAGAGCTTGTTATTTTTAATAAGAGTAAAATAATCTTTTCACTTTAAAATTTATTAACAAAAATTTTTTTAGGAACTTAAGTGGAATTATAGTATTTTGAAGAACTAAATTGTCATTTAGATAATTTAGGAGATTTTATTGTTATTTTCTCAACTTTATATGAGTTTTTAATTTTTTTTTTAATTGAAAGGAGGCTAAACTAGTCCATGTAAGGGATTGAACCCACCACCTCTTGTATACAAGGATATCACCTTGCCATTAGGGCAATGCACCAAGTGCTTTTATATGAGATTTTAGATAGCATCAAGACTATGTTATTTTATAAACTTCTTGAAATTAAATTTTAAAATGATACAAATTTTCTTTTTTTTGGTAGTAGTAGTAATCATAAGGAATGAGCAGCTTTCTCAGACTCCATCGATGCAATGGGAATGATCGCTAATACTAATTAATTATTTATATATAATATAAAAACTCCAACAAAATAAATTATTTTTGTAGTAATAAATAATGTGGCTCATTTTTCAATCTTCGTCTAACGATACACAGTACCCATACTAATTTTTGTAAAAGTCAAATTCACGAAAACTCCAACCCGGCTGCTTATGCTTGCTTTACGTAGATGATTTGGTTTTTCCATACAGATCCTTCCGACAATAGTCAGCTTGTGAAGGCAGTTCCAAATTTTGCATATGTCAACACTATTTGTATGAAATTTGCAAGATATTGAAAATCCAATCAGTTAAGATACAAGTTCAAGAGTCATCAAAATTATAATTAAGTTATGATTAAATTGGTTATCAACAAAATATTTTATTAAACTGATCAAGATATTAGTTTAACATATTATTTACCGGTTCAACTAAATAGATTGATCCAAATTTTCATATATACTATGAAAATTAATTTGTCACCAAAATTTGAAACCTTGATTTGTATGCACTATGTAGCATTCATTTTCTATTTTGAAACCCTAGCTCTTGGAATGCCAACCTCCAAAAGAAAAAAAAAATTAAAGTCGACAAATTAACATTGGAACCCCCCCCTCCAAGTCAGGAAAATTTTAGGGGGAAAAGAACAACTTCTTCTTGTTTTTTTTTTTTACCAACAGGGCCAAAAGAATTTTTAATTATAAATATAGATATTGAAAATAAATATTACAGTAGTAGTAGTAATAATAACAATAAATTTTACAGAAATTTGAAAATAAGAAATTATGAATTAATAAAAATGTAAGATTATTTTTTGGCCAACAATAAAAATCTAAGAGATTAAAGATACATATATACCGTATCAAAATAAATACAAATCCCAGTCAAAAATAATGCAAATGTCTTGATAATATACTGCACACGCAAACATAATGTATGTACATGTGTGTTAGGTGATAGAATATTATAAGGTATTAAAATTCTATTTATCGGCTCTTATTTCAAATCAATTTTTCTTTTGGAGGTGGCTCTTAACATATAATGTATTAAAATTCTATTCATTGATCATTTCAAAAAAAAAAAAGAAAAAGAAAGAACTTTTCATCTTCTCATAATAAAATCATTTGTAATCATTTTCTATATATACAACAAAATGAATGCCAAGAAAGAAATCTTCAATTTATTATCAAGTTATCACACTTTAACAATAGATAGATATTGAGGATGGAAGGTATATACTCCCTCCATTAAAAAATATAAGTATTTTTGAGGAGTTAGATGTTAAAAAATGTAAGGCATTTTTAGTCTTTTGAGATATAATTATTGCTCTTTTTTTAAAAGTACCCCTATTGATTAATGATTTTATATTTATTGTACGGTATTTCATAGGGGTAAATATAAAAAGATAAAGTTAATTAGAAAATAGGTAACTATTTTTTTAAGGGTGAGATTTGGTTAAAAATGCTTTATATTTTTTAACGGAGGGAATATATAATTAGGTAGCCCTTCATAGAAGTAAATATAAAGTATTCTTAAAACCTTTAATATGTGTTAAAAACTTTTTTATTGCTACCAAATTTTTATTATAGTCAATATTGAAATAAGTATGATTGTAATTGGTTAAGACCTCAAAATATCTAAAAGAGGCAAATAAATCAGGTAATAAAAAAGGAAGCATAACCAAGTGTCAGGGGTTTGATCTTTGCTTGGATATGAAAAAATGTCCTCTGACCAGCTCTCCCAACCTTCGAGCTGCCTGACCATGGGAGAATTCAGATTAGCCTGGGCTGTTGTTGCACCTGAAAGATGGTCTACATAGGATACTAGATATGTCAGCAAAAAAATAAAAATAAAAAAGGAAGCAAGTACAATCAAATATACTACATCTCTAGTCTTAAATGTAAGAATTAGTTGAAGAGTTTATTTTAATCTTAAACAGAAGTTTAAGCAGTGTTCAGAACAGTCAAATATAAATAATTAAAAGGAGAGGTGTTTTAACAAAACAATCACACGTTTTTATAAATAATTAAGTTATCTATTTTTTTAATATATATGAATAAGTTAACTAACTCTTATATATTAAACTACAGATAAGCATAATTTTAATTTGGATTTAGTGAATGGCCTAAATCTATACACTCTACAAGTGTCTCAATTATAAGATACATTTTTTCTTTAAAAATTTAAAATAATTCTTACAATCAAAACATTCATCACATATATTGTCCTCTACAAAATTTAAAATGTAATACTTTTTAAATATTATGAGACAAAAATTCTCACAACTATTTAATTAAATCAAACAATTACTTATGATGTGATGTAAAACACTCATTAATCAAGTGAATTTAGGCCAATCACCCGCTCAATTCCCACAATTTTTGGCGAAAGTTAACATTTTATGTTTGCGCCGAACATATGTACCAATGAAATTATTACATTAATTAAAGGAGCAGCAGATGCCACTATTAAAACTGACGTCAGTCCTTCATGGTATTAAAGAACGATTTAAGGATTGTTGACTGCAACTACATGTGATATCAGGTGTTCGACGGATCAAACTATAAAATAATTTATTGAATTTTTACTGCCGTCTATTTGGATTAATAACAATTTAAATTTAAATTTAAATCAAACATAACTTTTAATCTTTATACTTTACTCACGTTTCATTTTTAGTTCTTATATTTTTTTAATATTTTAGGTTCCTAAATTTTTGTTTTTATTATTTTGAGTCCTTTCAAGATTCCTATACTTTATTTATAGAGGGATTAAAAATAATAAAAAATAAAATTTGTAAGGACCTAAAATATTGAAATAAAAATAAAAAGATCAAAAATAAAATATGGGTAAAGTATATGAATTAAAAGTTATGTTTATCTTTTTAATGTTTTATAAAATGTTACATGCTTTCAATCATTTAAACTTAAAATTTATAAAAACTTTGTAATATGCATGGTTTTTTTAATCCCTTTTGCTATCATTATTAAATTCCGACTCTGCCCCTGAAAGTCTTAGAGTTGAATTGAAGCCTTGAAGGGCGGCGAGATTGGAATCGCCACGTTACACTCGCTGATCTTCACACGTACGTACACTTCGTCTTTCTTGCCGCCTTCTTCTTTGACTTTTCAACCCTGCCACCAAAACATGCCACGTGGAAATCTGCTCAATCTCAACCCTCCACGTGCCCTCTTATTTCTCTCAATCCATCCTCCCACAGGTGTCGCATAATGTCACTTCAATACATATCTATAAAATCCTTCACGTAGCTCTTTCTTCCTCATTACTCGACACGATCATGAACAGATTCAATGGAAAAAACCAGCAAGCCTCAAGAATTCTGCGATAACTATCACAGAAAGATACAACGAATCAACACGACACTTTCTTCGAAGATATCATCGTCCATGGAAGAAGAACAAGAACAACGCAGAAACAGAGCTGCTTCAACCTCACACGGTTCAATATCGGTGATAGGAAGGCGGAGGACAATGGAGGACACCGTGAAGGCAATACCAGGATTCATCGGAAGCTATGACTTTTTCGCAGTTTACGACGGTCACGGCGGGTCCACGGTGGCCGATGCTTGCCGTGACAGGATGCACGTGTTGGTGGCAGAGCAAGTGAAGAAGGAGGGAGCTAATTATCAGAAGAGAGGATTGGATTATTGGCATGAAGCGATGTGCTCTTCCTTCATGAGGATGGACCGTGAAGTCGGAGAATGTGGCAGCAAAGATGACAACATGGTGGGTTCCACGGCGGCGGCGGTCATCGTCGGCAGCGATGAGCTTGTCGTCGCTAACTGTGGAGACTCAAGAGCTGTACTTTGCCGTGGAGGTATTGCCCTCCCACTTTCAACAGACCATAAGGTGATCATCGTACCATATCTAAGTAATAAGTAGTAATTAATAACCTCTCTTGAATTATTATTATTGTTATTATTGTGCTCTTATGGAGTAACTGAATGGTTAGACATATAATACGTGTTTGCTAAAGCAGTCAAATCGTCCAGATGAAAGAAAAAGGGTGGAAACAGCCGGAGGAACAGTAATAAGTTGGAACGGGGATCGTATCTTAGGAGTACTAGCCACTTCCAGGTCCATAGGTCCGATCATCATCATCATCATTATTGAGAAAATATAACTTCTTATCCTTAATTTTTTTTCATTTATATCAATTTAATTACTGAATTTTGATTTAAAACAATTAAATTCTCGTAATTTATTGAGTAAAAATACACTACAAACATCCAGCCAGGGGACGGGGGCGGAGCCCATGATCCCCCAAGTTTTTAAATTTTTCTTATTACATGTTATATAGATATTACATACTTCCAGCATAAAAAATTTGCTATTAATAAGCTTTAAGGTTAATATATAATTTAGGTTTTGAATTATAAATTTAAAGGTGATTTGTACCCTATTTGATATATTTTAAATTTTAAATAATTAAATTTGGACTAGTTTTGCCCAAACGTCTTTTTTTTTTTTTTAAATGAGACCTGATATCTAATTTTAAAAATGGAGTCTAATATTTAATTTTCTTCTAGAGGAAGTAGAAGCAGGAGAGCGAGAGAGTGTGAAATTGGAGGAAAATTATACATAAGCTCCATTTCTTTAAAAGTGACGGACGTGAGAGTGAAATTATTTCAAGTTTATTTCTTTACAGTTTATAATTCAAATCACCACTGAATTTATAATTTAGGATTCAAATTACATATTAATCCTAAATTTTTTTAATCTCAACCTTTTTATTATTAAATCGTGGTTCCGTCTCTGCAAGAACCGATATCATCTGCTCAAACTTTATATATTGAATCAATAAATTAAAGAACAGCTGTATTCTCCCTTATCTTTTTTCATTGCAATAATCCACTGAGTATCGACACACACACACACTTACCACTAGAATTCTAAATTTTAGTGTGATGAGACTTGAAATAAAGAAATTAATTGGTTGCAGGGGACCATTGTATGAAGCCATATGTAGTATCAGAGCCAGAGGTGAAGGTGTATGAAAGAACAGAGAGAGACGAGTTTATGGTGATAGCGACAGGTTGTGGGATGTGATATCCAACAAGTTGGCTTGTGAGGTGGTGAGGCGGATTTTTAAGATGAGGTTCGTAAAGAATGCAGCATCACAAGCTGCTGCATTGCTAGCAGAGTTGGCTGTGGCTCGTGGAAGCAGAGATAATATCAGTGTTGTTGTAGTCCAACTTAACTAGCATACAACTTGATCCGGCCATAATTTTCCATACAACTTGCTCCAGCCATAATTTTCCTTTCTTTCGTAGGAAAATTAAATTGCTATATACATAAAGGTTGGGTTTGAATTTCAACCACTTATTTAAATAATAAGAGTCTTTAGCTGCAATTGCACCAGCTCTAGTTAGTTTATCCAGCCATTTATGTTCCTTTTTTGCATTTTATAGTTACTCTAAGGGATATACGTTTTCTCTTTATATTTTCTTTTTCTTTTTGAAAAAAATGATATCAAACATTTGGTAGGGAGTTGGATGGTGCTGGACGACTTATTAATTGTAGTTTCTTTTCTCTTTTTATTTATATATGATGAATGATTTCCTCTTTATTGCTTCTTATATCGATGAGGTTAGTTATTATATGAATCACAAGCATCACTATTAATTATTATTACATTTTTATATGTAATACTGTTATCTATATATTTTAATAAAAACGTAAATTAGAGAAAAAAATTTAGACTCAGATCAAAATAACTTATGAAAGATTTGATGTTAAATTATACAAGGATTTTATGCTTCATACATAGAATTGGGGAAAAAAAATACAAGTTCTCTTGTGATGATATTTTTGAGTCAAAATTAAAAATTTATTACTTATTATATGAGTTTTATTGAACAAATCCTCCAACAGATCTATTAATAAAAAAAAATCAAAGAAACCTATAAGTAATTAAATTTTTTGCCAAATGAAAATTATATGCTAAAAAATAGAGAGGAAAGGGGAGCTTTTAATATTCTCTTGTTAGATTAGATTTGGTTGTAAAGGATGCGGGGAAAGAGATTTTAAGATTAATTACATTAATTTGTTTGGTTTTGGAATGAGGGCGGAATGAAATGAAAATAATAATAAATAGCCTGTAATATTTTTTTTAAAAAAAAGGAAAGAAAGAAAGAAAGCCTGTTATAATCTCCTAAATTTTAGTTTCCTCTTTTCAAAAAAATGTTTATATTACAATTTATCCTTATCTAGCTAACAGGACGGAGTCAAAAAAAAAAAAAACTTGGGGGAGGCAAGTACTAATATCATGATGATTAATAATTAATAATTAGTCATTTATTTAAAGCTAAAGTATACTTTTTTTTTATATTTTACACAAAGTTTTAATTTAATTTTTTAATTTTATAAAGTATTTTTTTAATCCTCTAATCTTAATATCGTTAGTTTTAAATAATTATTTTTTTACCTTATTTTAAAAAAATAAACTTAATATATTAATATTTAAAAATATTTTTTTAATATTTAAAAATTTGATGTAAAAATTTTTTGTGAGAAAACTAATGGTGTTAGAGTTAAATAATTAAAAATATAATATTAAATGTTCTAAAATTTAAAAATAATGATACATCATATAATACTCTAGTTCAAAAAGCGCGCTCCCACACACATACATATGTAAACAAGTATATATGACATAAAATGTATTAATTATGAGGATGCCAGAAAATATATTAATTATCAAGTGTCATGGAGATAGATATAAAATAAGTTTAAGAAAGATTGATATTGTTTATTCGAATAATTTGTTGTGATCTGTATTCAGATAGATTTCTTAATTTTCAAGGTAATATTTAATTTGAAATTAAATTAATATAATCTTGAGCTTGTTTAATATTTAATTTTTTTTAAAAGAAAAACACTTTTTATTAAAAAATCATTTTTGACAAATTTTAAATTATTTGATTAAAATTTTATAAATAATCAAATCTAAAAAAATTATTTGGATTAGCAAATCTAAATAGCTTGTTGAAATAATTAAGTTATGAGAAAGATAAAATAATTGCAAACACAACTATTTTCACAGTGATATTTTTTAAGGAAAAAAATAGCCCCATTACAATATTCAATGTCTTCCTTCACTTTTTCTTGCACAATGTCTTCTCTCTCTTTGAGAGAGAGAGAGAGAGAGTCTCTCCTTGTTCTCCTCCAGTTTGCTTGGATCAGTACCATCTTCTCTCTCTCTATCTCTCTATATTTTTGTTAATGTTGTTCAACTCTGTTTTTGTATTTGTTATGATGATATATGTGCTTTCAATTTGATCTACTTTGTTGATGTGGCTGCCTACTTTGTTTCGCTTTCAATTTGTTCCTTATCTTGCTTACAACTCTATTTTGTTTTTAATTTTACCCCTGGATATCATTTTGTTTGTATGTTTTGATTTAATTTGTTGGGTTTCCAATGGCACTAAGGTTCCCTGTTGTGAGTAGAGTGAATGCAATAACACACTTAAGCAATTAATGGGTTTATATATTATTGAGTTGGTGCAATTTTTTTATTCCCTATGCAATTCCCATCATATTTCAAGTTTGCTATACTCAAATTTCTATCATATGGGTATCCTTAAGTGTTTTTCCCCCTTTTTTGAACAATATTACCCTAACATTTTTCAAATTAGTGCAATATTACCCTAATCTCATGGTTTGACTAGCTTGACTGTTAACTTATTAAATTTGACAATTAAATGTATTGCTTGTTGGCCACACAAGAGTCCATGTATGAAGGAGTAATCTATTGTGGCCATTAAAAAGATTCACACTGTTATGTGCTATCCCTAATCTAATATTTTACCATTTGCATAAGTTGAGCTCTAGTTTTTTTTTTTTATAGATAGAGACTTTAAACATAAGCTATTGAAACCAGAAATTATGCAAGGGTAAGTGTAACATATCAAAAATTTTAATTCAATGACTAAATTAATTAATTGAGTGGTTAATTAATTCATTAAGATAATTAAAATTTAATTAGAGTTTTGATTGTCTTTTGAGTCAATTGGGCCTTATGGGAGACTTAGAAAGGGGTTAGAGAAGCTATTGGGCCATTTTAGGCCGATATTTTGGACTTAAGTGATGGTGCTCGTTTTCGCCATTCGCCATGACAGATGGTGAAGTTTGCTGTAGTAAACACATCTAATTTTTAAACTCTAGAGTTGCAATTAGATTTACAAAAGCAAAGGGGAGAGACATGAGAGTGAGCAAGTGAGAAGTGGAGGGTTTGCTAGGTTTTGTGTAGGAGGCATTTTAGAGTGGTTTGAAGCTTCTAAATCATCGAGTAAACTTCATTTCTTCTTCTCCTACCTCTTTTTAAGCGTCTCTTCTCTAGTTTTTATTGTTGGGGGACATGTTGTTTGAAATTCTTGCTGAGTCTCAACCATTCTTAGAATGTTAATAGAGTCTTTGGATATTATTAAATGCTTCTACACCTAGGTTTTGGTTATTGGCAACTCTAAACGCCATCAATAAAGGGTTTAGAGCTAACCCTAATCCTAAGTAATCTAGTTTAAATTAATGGGAGTAGTTAACAAAGATGTATAGTCTTAATGGAAGTTAAATAAAGTAATGGAAATGAGTTTTGGGGCTAGTTATAGTTAATCAAACTTAAGGAAGGTATTAAGCCTGAATTGTAATTAAGGGTTAATTAATGACAATTAGTCATTAATGCTATTTTTGGATTATAATTGTAGACTGATTGTGCTTGGAGCTTGTGTTCAACGAAGCTCCCTTAGGGAATCCAAATTTACCTCTTAAGGTAGTAGCCCAAGAGTAGAGATAGCTAGAAATTTAATTACAATATAACATTGTGTTTGTAATTGTGAATTGTGCACTATTATTTATGGCTTGAAATGAATGTTATAAGTTGTTGATGAATCTATTAACCTTGAGTCAATGCATGAGATATAAAGCATGCCTCGTTGTGATAAATTATTAGTGATCATATATGTATAGTCATCATGTGATATTGCGATTATGAGTTGTGGGCCTAGATTTGTGATGCTTAGTTGATATGAGTTCTTGTTTGTTATATGAGCAAAGTTAAGCATGTATGTTAGTGAAATTTTGAGAATGTTGAACCATTAAGATATGCATGAGTATATAATTGCATATGTTAAATGAACTTGTACGGTCATTATGGGTAAGAGTTCACCCTAGAGTACTATAGGGCTATATTGGTAAATCCACATAGTGTAGTCTTCACTAAGTTTACACACAAAAGGTTGGCTTAATTAATTATTAAATGTGCTTAATATTTCTAATAACCTACAAGTGTGGCATAGATCAGGCACAATGCACAGTATCATCAGTTCATGGAAGGGATGGCTTAGCTCAAGTAGTTATGATACCCAAAAATTTAAGTAAGGAAAGATCCATAGTTTGAGAGTGAGTATGGGAGCCTTTGGCTAGGTGACTGCTCACAATTACAGAGCAAGGCTAGTCCAATCACATGTGCTAGACCTGTATAAGATATTAGCCCTTGCATTTGATTAGATAATACAAGGACTGGTATAAAATAGTTGCATTGATAATGCAAAATTAAAGTCACATGTTATATTGTGATTAATGCATGGTTGCCTTGTGTTTTGTTATCTACTTACTTAATTGTGAATTGCCACACTTTAATATTCTTTAATTAAATTACTTAATTATTGAGATTGTTTAATTTCACTGCCATTTATTAGTTTTTTCTAGGAAATGATACAGTGAAGAGCGAGGGGGAAGCCTCTAAGGCCAAGCACTAGAGAGTAGCTTGTAAATTTCTCTAGTAGCTTTGTGTATGTAATGACATATTTGAATTTGCCAACACTAAGATCATGATTATATTGTGTTAATATATATCATTTGCATGATAAACCCAATTGTTGACTTCGGCTTTTTAGGTCATTCACCTATGCAAATGTGTGCATGTTGATGTTGAATGTCTAAATTATAATGACGTGTTTACGCATGGCAATAGTTTTGATTATAGTAATGTAGATGTGGTTAGGTTTTAGTAATGGTATATGAAGGGAGACACATACTTGAGGTGCCTTAGTGGCAAAGGCTTATTTTGGCAATAAGTATTCTGAGATCATTGTTTAGTGTCAGACGGAGTTATAATTGGAGTCATTAGTTATCTTTCTTAATTATCAGCTCTTGGGCAATTGAATCACTTTAATTGGAGGTTTAGGCAATTAATTAGGTAGTTCAAAGTTAGGATTTTATGCTGAATAATTATGTGCTGTTAGAAGGTTTCCATTGCAGTGGATGTGTGTTTGTCCATAATGAATATGTCATTTTGAGTCTCATAGTGACAAATTGTGAATAAATCATAGTGGATAAGATGAGTGATGTTGGCTGCGGTAAAACACCTACAATAGATGTTCAATTTTTGATGGAAGGATGCTCTTGTCCCTATTACTTTCCCGCTCGATGTTAAGTTGATTTTTTCATATTTTCGTGATGATTTTCTACTTTGATTTAAGTGGCTTTAGGTTTTATTGCTTTATTATTTTAAAATGATTTTTAGAATCCTTGTTTTCAAAAAATACTTTTGAGAGACCTTAATTTAACTAT